CCTCAACCGCCTATCCACATGGTCTGCAGAAGTTCTTCTCCCGGTCAACCCAGCCAAGTCTGTATTTATGAGCCTGGGGAAGGGTGCTGACGGCCGAACCTACACCCTTGACGGCCAACCGCTATATCCCACACCCTCCGTGAAGGACCTAGGTGTACTCTCACGCAACGACTTGAAGTCCGTGGACAAGACGAACAGGCTATATCGTAACGGACTGCGCATGCTTTGGGCGCTCAAACGTAGCTTCGGCACATGGTCTGAAGAGGTTGCCACTGGCCTCTTCTCTTCCATCATTAGACCAATGCTAGATTACGGTTCGCCCGCCTACTTTCCGATTACCCGAGGCGAGGCACAAAAGATCGAACGGGTCCAACACGTTGCTACCAGGCTCATCCCGAGTTTACGTGGCTTGGGATATGAAGACCGGTGAGAGAAACTAGGACTCTACACCTTGTCCTACCGTCGGATGCGAGTCGACCTCATTATGACCTACCGTATTCTACATCTCAGTGACTTCCCAATGCTAAGGCCAATGCTGCACTTACGAGGACCATGCAGCACACGCGGACACAGATACAAACTTGTCGCGGCGGATGTGAAATGTGTTCCCCACCCACTGTGCTTCGAACGGAGAGTAGTAAACATTTGGAACAGTTTGCCTGAACATGTGATGGAGGCAACATCTGTGCAGCAGTTCAAAGCGTTGTTAGATTTATATTTTACCACTATTCGATTCAGAGAACGATTGCACACTTACGAGGACATATCACATTTGTGAGTCCTGAAATATCGTAAGTCAGATACTTTAAATGTTACATGCAGACGACAACAATATTCACGGTGGACAACTTTTATAACGTTTTTCACCATATTTCGAAAGAGTTGTACAGAATTCATTTCTACTTACTCTATACTACAGTATTCAGTATTCATTTAATACAAATCTCCAGAAAATGATGTCATCTACCAGAATTTCATTTCATCCACTCTTATACTGACAATATTTGTTTTCCTCTGTTTCTTTCCGCTCCTGAATCTTTATTTCCCTCAATGTCATCACTTTCTGAGTACACTGAGATGAAGCAATGATGTGAGGTAGGGCATCAGACGAAGGTTTACCAGTTGTCCCAAGAGGAGATAGATAGCATGAACCGCTTCGAATCGTACCTAGTTCAATATCAAAAATTATGGAACAATAGTGTGCTAAGGGTAAAAAAATAAATGCTTAACCAATTCATTTGAAGTGGCTTGAATGGCAGCCACGAAATGGCGAAACGAAAGTATAGTGATAAAATGAAGCCGCCATCTGAACATCAGGAGGGCAGATACTTCGGTTCATTGGGAAGTGAAGAGTGAGTGAGCCAATCTGCAACACCAGGACAGATACTGTGAGCTTAATGGCAATACGTCGCGAACCAAGCAGAAGTCAAGTATTACATTGCGCACCTGATCGTCAGTCCTCGGTAGCTCAGTTGGTAGAGCAGCGGACCGGTAATCCGTGTGTCCAGGGTTCGATTCCCCGTCAAGGCAGATTATTGTGCAAAGTTTAATCGTGGCTTCTACTTTCTACGAAAATGGAAAGCGTTTCGGTGGACCCACCAGTGTTCACACTGACATGTTTGAAAAAACTTACCTTGATTGCGCAGGGAGATACCGGTTGGTGCACCATTAGTCACGTTATACCGACTCCCGATGTTCAGTGACCATATTTCCTTATGTGGCTAGGTCAAAGCTACGTCTAGGCGTTTTTAACATAGAGAAGGCGGCGGAAATAACGTAAAAAGAAAGGGCGTTGCACGGCTGGAACACACGAAGAGAGTAAATTTCCGGCGACATTCTAACAGGCTGTTATTGTTTTGTCAACTAGAACTGATGGCCTCTCAGGTTCGTGTTGTGGCTGTTGTAGTAGATGGTGACAGACGTGGCTGGAGTTCTTCAAACTCCGGTAGGTCATTATTAGGTCGCCTCTTAGAAGCCGATATCGACCTCTGTACAATCTTAGGGTTCTCAGTCTAAGTTGATATGGGAAGTGCAACAATTATTTTACGTGCTTGTTGGTTGTTCGCTGTGGAGTCTCGAACGCTGCGAGATCTTGTTTGTACCAGTTGTCAGGCCTCGATAACGTATTCTACAAGAGCTCGCACGCAAGTGTTAAGCATTTGCGAACCGACAGATAGACCAAACCGCCCGAATGTCCTTTGCCTTCTCAGTGACGTCGTCACCTCGAGAGGTGGTGAAACGATTGCAACAAAACTACCGAGCTCAGCGAACACTCCAACTGAACAACCTGGATCATCAATATTTGTTTCCATACCACTGATGTTCGGTGTTAAGAGGCTAATCGTAATCAGCAGTTACCACCTCTCGAAAGCACCCGGCGGAAATAGCACACACAGTTCCAGAACCATACTGGATAAACGCCTGGGAGTTTCCTCTTACAAGTGAGTAAATTAAGTCACAGACGACGGCGGTAAATCACGACGATGGATTACCATGTAGCCTACACCGACGTGGACTACCACCCTAGCATCAAAAGCCTTTATTAGCTATTGATAGGTTGAGTGAAGGTGGTTGCGAAGTGCATTACACCAGGACCAGACGAAGAAATAAATTGACGAAGCACTCGTTGATGTTAGACTACCAGCTGTCTTTAGGCTGCGATACGCCCATCCACTTGAACCAAGATTTATTTTGCAACTGCCGATCATTGGGACCGGAGCTGTTAGTAGTGGTTGGTTGCCATATCTGGAGTACGCAAACAACGAAGCGCGTCAGCCTACTGGCGACAGTGTTAACAGATTGAATATGATCGAGCAGGTGCTCCAACGCGACATCATTGGCCGGTTTGGTGACAGGGTGTAGTATAGTGTAGTCGGGGAGCAACAGTCCGACTCAACCGTCGACGCTTGGATGCACCGCTAAAGGAGTTGAAAATTGGTCAGGAAAACTTCGTACTACTCTTTTTGCTGCCGGATACAACGCGGTTGTGTTACTATTGACTGAAACAAGAAGGAACAAAAATCAAAACTTAGTCGTATCATCCACTGTTGATCGCCAACTAACTTGCGCATTGCGACCACAGTAATAATACACGTAGGCCAATAAACCATGATTTGCGTAGACCACGAGACCCGAAATATCGCCTGGATTGTTACGGAAAGATTATTTGCCGGATACATTAAAAACCGTGTGATAGCTTTTTCTCAAAAGGCCTCCTGAAGTATCGGTGTCGGTCGTCAATAAGAAGCGACTCACTTATGAACAGGTGAGCAGCAACCGAAGTACTTAACGAAGTGCAGTGAAAGTTAGATGATCGATCTACTAAACCACAGAACATTTGTACGCCGCTTTTCTAGAAGCTGTCTATTCATAATACTGTACGAGATAATGTTTCAGGCTAATGATCAAACCGACGTAGTTTCCTAAGTAAACGATTATACCCAATAGACGGTGGCAGTAGATTGATAGCACCAATTTTTGTACCACATGCTTACAGTTCTGTCTGTCTTGTGCTTCAATTGAACGGGGAAAAACGAAAGTCAACACTCGGTCGCGTCAGGTGACAGCCTCATCCGATGTGAACGCGTCTTGCCTACCTGGCTTGTCACAGTGCACTGGCAGTCGTCCGCTCGCGTCCAGACACAGGCCCACTCACACAGTGGATGCGCATTGGACTTCCCCCGTCGTTCAGGTGGTAGTTGTGTACCATATTTGGACAGCTGCTCGCGAGCCCAGTAATAAGCCTGTTGCTCAGGACCGCTTTTCGTCAGCTTCACACATGACTTATCACAAGCCCGTTCATGATGTCAGCTTGGGCATGCGCTGTAGCGTCTTGCACAAATATTCGCTATGTTTGGCCACCTAATACCCCCCCTTCGGTTTGATTGCGCCTACGTATTATCTGGACTTGATTTCAGTCATAACTTTCCACCTTTGAATCAACTTGTAGCTATCTCGGCTGTTTCCGCCTTCAGGTTCATCTGCCTGATGAATCTTGTGGAGGGGTAGGTATGTCAGACTACAGAAAAGACCGACGAAACATTCTCCCTGCTACCACCAAGACGGTGAAATTTGGAGTTGTGACGTCTCCAGTCGCCGCACTCGATCCAATCCCGTAACAACCCCAATTCCAAAGAAAAATTCAAACGCCGTACATACTGCCTACGTACCTCCGGCAGGGATGAGTTGGGTCACGGCCACCATAGGGGTCAATGGCGAAAGCATCAGGCGGGGTTTGGGTGCACACTTCAGAGGACTTCATGGCTGATCAGGTTGTTGAATTTGTGAGATGGAGGGCTGGAAAAGGTTTGTGGCGCTGCACACGTTGGTCACAACCGAAGTCTGTGTGACCATGTGAGCAATGATCAAACCGTGCAGAAGGTACTAGTGAGAAATTTCACACACATCAGATGACATCATACTCACGAATCAGATGCGGCAAGTCAAACTAACAGTATATTGCAGTGCCAGATGAGGATTCAGCACTCTTTACTTCACCGGATAAATGCAATCTACAAAATCTGCATACACCTGAGCATGGTTGATAGTTCCAACTGATTGTTAATGCCATGGGAGAGACTTGTGGAAAACAAACGCCTTCGAATTGGCAAACGTTCAATCTATCTGAGTAATCCGGCATCAGTATGACCGGACCGTTGAGTAAGGACGGAGTATAACAGATGACTTCGTAGTCACTGGATGTAGGGGAGCACTTGATATAGCGCAATAGTCGAGGAGCGGATTAAGAACAAATGCTAGACATTGGGTATTTAAACTAACGAAGGTACTGATGAACCGTAATGGGCGCGGGGCGCGTTTGATATAGGTAGTAGTCAAGCTGGCCTGGAACAGACGAAGCACAACTACGGTTATTCGTATGTCAACAAATATGCGAAAAGGAGACGAATATGTGTAGGTGCTTACAAATCAAACGGTCAAGCGGCGCCAATATGATTAGATATACTCATAAAGAAGAGCACCGAAACAGATCAAAAATGGAATCACGAACACAAAGAATAAATTACAATACATACGGAATACATGATGCTATACAGGGGAAAGGAAGACAGTGTCAGTTCCGATTGCTCAGAGAAGCCAAGACAGTGCGTGTCGCCACGACCGAGGAGCTTGTTTTTAGCTTTTTGCATGGTTTCCCCTTCCATTCAATAGGATCATCCAAGAGATCCTTGCAGTCATCAGACACCTTCATTTTGGACCACAAGGTGTTCAACTCCTCCCATTCAGAAGCAGTGAAGTCTGGAACCGAGGAGTCTTCCGTTGTCTGTCGCTGCATTCGATGTTGTATCACACCGTCGGGATTAAAGATGACTACATCGTAGCAGGAAGTTAAGGTGCTTAAAACTACTTCAAGCTGTGGTAAGACAACTGAACATTGTCAAATGAACTAGACGGTAGAAAAAGGCAATCCAGTGGAACTGATTCCCCATCACTCAGTATCTATGAACAAAATAGCCTAGACAGTGCACCAGAGTAATGAGGACCTGAGATAGACAATTCGCTTGATGATTATAGCCACGCGTGACTAGGTACGAAGTACAGAAGAAATAGGCATCATCAGTACGCCGGCCGACCGTATCATCACTTCGCTGCCACGCGACTACCGCTTGTCGAGCCTGACCCGGTTGTACTGCGAGGTCACCCGTACACCTACGTGGCTTCGAACAAGTGACCTCCGAAGTACAAGGTAGGTATACAATACTTTCAGCCACCGGCCGATAGGTACGAATTCCGTAGATATATGAACGGCTGCAGACAGAATGGCACAGAGGGCTTCCAGTCTTACGGTGGACAAAAGACAGTTGATCGAAATCGTGATTCACGATGGCCCCACGTCGGTACGTGTAATAACATGGGAATGCGAGAAACCAGAGCAAAGATAAAAAATGGCAAAAACCGACAAATGAACATCCCGAGTTTCAGGTAATCTGTAAAAGGAAACAGATCCTGATGAAATCGATTGGTGCAATTTTCCGCGATCTAGCTAGAGGTAGATTGGCTAGTCGCGTGGTTGTGATATCGGCTCAACTAATGACACTCCGCCATAATAAGCACTCTGAGGTCATCTGACTGCATAGGCCAATGAAATGGTGTCTTATGAGACTCCGTTTGTCTTCTCGGAAGTAACTTCTTTTTTAAAGTGCTATATCTACCTGATGAGATCAAACACATTCCAAACCGGTCGTAGAGTACAGTGTTTTCCAGTGGGGAACACCCAAGTTCCATCTGATTTATTAGACTTTTGTTTTCAATCGAGCCTGGCGGTCGACACATTCTCGGTTCATAAGGTGCCGCAAACCAGATCAGTATCTGATTACTGGGAAGACCAGTGGCCGAGCATAGTAGAGCCGACATCGATTGCGGCGATATGGAGAATTAAGGAATGGCACCATAGAAAGCCAGGAACTTAAGATTCAGTGTACACAGATGACGCCTCAAAAGCGGGTTGAGAGGGATACGCAATTGGAAAACAAAGGATACACACAGTGATGGAATCTCCGTTGGACAAAAATTTGGCACCCATCGCCTTTTCATACGTTGAGCATTTAATTCTAAAAAAGATAGCAGAAGAAACAAAAGATTAGAAAAAGGGAAACCGTAAAACTTGTGAGGGAGACAACTGCGTGAGCAGCTACGGAGCTACTGAACGTGGAACACATTGTATGCGGCCCTTGCGTTTATCCTGAGTACTGCCCGACCATGCAAAACTGTGGGTGGATCGTAAAATGAAAAAAGAAAGGTATCATCATCATCATCATCATCATTACACGTTAGCTGGAGGTGGAAAACACCTCAGCTATTGTGCCGCAATACAAAAGGCAAGGAAAGAAAAAAACAAAAAAACAAACAAACAGTGGCACGCCCGCTGAGTCCCCAGTAACGGATGGACATCGTTCCGGAGAGCTAACAGCTGGCTGCCGTAAAAGAAAGTCATATTATGCCTAACGATTGAGATCGTGATTGGAGGGGGATGCTAAACAGGAGGGGATGGACAAAGGAACTCACAACACAAACGCCATTGGGGCCGGCTCCTAGCCATATCAGCAAGTGTGTCCAGCCAAACGTGTTCACCGTCCTTAGGACCCCAGCCAGGCAGTCGGGATGCACCAACCGACGCCAACTTCGAAGTGAGGGTTTTCATTTCTCGCGACCAAGTCATCACTTGGCCTCCCCTCCTCCTCTTCCAACCGCACCCACAACGCGCAAACAATGCACGTCGTGGGAGTCGGTTTGCTGGCATGCGCAAGACGTGGCCCAGCCATCGGAGCCTGATGCGTGATGCAATGGTGCTGAGCAGATCATTCGGTCTTCCTGCACCAAATAGAGGACGCCGAACACATGCATAGCTCACGTGGTGTTCCCACCAGACATGAGCTAAGCTGCGAAGGCAGCGATGATCGAACGTGACGAGTCTCTTCATGTCTGTCGACCTGATGGGCCAGGTTTCACAGCCATATAGGAGAGTTGAACCGACGGCTGCGTTGTAAACTCTGCCCTTGAGGGCGAGAGTAATGTCGCGTCTGCGCCACAGGTGGCGGAGATTGGCAAAAGCACCTCGAGCTTTTGCTATACGGTTCGTAACCTCATCTTCAATCCCACGGGTGCTAATATAGCTGCCCAGGTACTTGAATTCCTGAACGACTTCTAGCAGATCACCACCAAGCGTTAGCGCAGGGTTGGGTCCCTGCCAATCTTGGAGAAGTACTTTGCATTTCGATGGAGCAAAGCATAGCCCAAAACGACTGACAGCCAGTGCTAATCGGTTCAGTGCTGTTTGGCATGTTTGGGGAGCCGTCACAGATTAGGGCAATATCGTCTGCATACTCCAAGTCAAGAAGTCGCTCACCAGGGAGTAGCTCCACACCATCTAGGTCGTGTCCAGCGAACGCTGTTTCCATGACTTCATCAATAGCGAAGTTGAAGAGGAAAGGTGACAGCGGGCATCCTTGTCTCACACCGCTGGTGATACTGAAGGGGTGGCGAGAGTTTGCCATAAACCCTCACCCTGCCCGAACTATGTGCGTACAGCGCTTTGATAATGTTTACATATTTATCAGGCACACCTTTCCTCAACAGACAGTCCCAAAGGGCACATCGATCGACTGAGTCGAAGGCACCTTTTATGTCAAGAAACACGACAACGGTGGGTCGCCAATAAACATGGCGGTGCTCCAACACTTGACGCAATGTGAAGATGTGGTCGATGCAGCCCCGACCTCGACGAAATCCGGCTTGCTCTTCACGAATTTGGCTTTCACGAGTGCCAGTCAGTCTGTGGAGAATGAGAGAGGTAAGCAATTTAGAGGCAATCGAAATCAGACTGATCCCTCTATGATTGCCACATACCAAACGGGAGCCTCCCTTGAAAATTGGGACAATGACGGAGCGGTTCCAGTCTGTCGGGACTGTCTCCTGCTCCCAAAGTTTTACTAGCAACTCGTGTAGATCACCTATTAGAGCAGGTCCACCGAACTTGAAGAGGGCTGGAGGAACAGTATCTGCTCCTGCGGCCTTATGCAATTTCAACAGCCTGATCTCACGTTCGACTTCTGCGCGTGAGGGCGGATCCAAGGAGACGGCCCAAGGAGAAGGGCGCTCAATGCCCGAAGAAAGTGATAACTCAGGTTGGTTAAATTGCATAGCAAAGTGTTCAGCCCAACGCTCCAAGCGTTTTGACAGGCTGTGGATCATCTGCCCACTCTCGTCGCGTATGGACTCGCTAACACCAGGTCTCCTGCTGCCTGTTGCCCGTATCAGACGGTATAACTTACGATGATTACCAATGGCAGCGGCTGTTTCCATCTCAGAGGCACGATGAGACCACCAGGTTTCGCGGTCCTTCTTTAGGCTAGCACGTAGTTTCGCCCTGAGATTTTTGCGAGCTTCACTGTATTCGCTTCCAGCCGGAATACGTCGGCGAGCATCCATAAGTTCCAGAGACTGTGTAGAGACCCAATGTCCGGTTTTGCAATTTGTTTTCCCACATGAAGACATGCCTGCTAATAGCAACGCTTGACGAGTGTGCGACCAGTGATCTTCAACGGTGTTTAGTGGGCGCTTACTCAGCCCAGATGTCAGCGCATCTTGGTACACATTCAGAACATCTGGCTTCGCCAGCTGGCTAGTGTCAATCCGTTCACATCAACGTTGCGGGCGTCCACCGAAAACGCACCAGGAGGTCGGCACATACAAGTGCGTGGTCAGAGTCCACGCTCGTGCTCCAAATCGAGCGACAGTTTTGGACACAGCCTCTCCAGCGGTAACTGATCGCGATAGAGGAAGGAACAGGAAACCGCATTCGAAACTATCAAGCACCTCATCAGCAACGCGCCTGTACTCGGTTATTACCATCCGGCGCAAGCTTTGGAGACGCAGTGTGACAGTAGCCAGGATGGAATAGGCGCTGTTCTCTTACAGAATAGAAAACCTTTGGATTTCCACAGTCGAGCACTTACCGTGACCGAGCAGCGCTATGCGCAGATGGAGATGCTCACGGTAGTCTACGCCATGGAGGGTTTCAACGATTAGGAAGAAAGAACTGTCTATACCGACCACAAACTACTTGTGTCAATAGCCAGGAAACCGCCGTACGTCGTTTCTCGTCGCCTTCAGCGCATGCTTATACGGCTTCAAAAGTACGACATGGATATAGTGTACACGCCTGGTGCACAAATGTTCATCGCGGATACGTTGTCAAGAGCTCATCTGCTGGTAGTCGAGCATAATCCGGAAGAGGTCGAAGTAGTAAACCTAATACAGCATTTGGCAGGGACAGAAGATCGCCTAAAAGAAATAAGGCGCCACACAGAGAAAGATGCTACGCTTTTAGCTTTGCGAGACTTTATTCTAAACAGGTGGACAGAAAAAAAGAAGCAGCTGCCGAAGAAACTAACACCCTACTCTAATTTTCGGGATGAACTCTGTCTACGATGGTTTGCTGTTCAAGGAAAACTGTATCTTGGTCCCGTCATCGTTCCAAAGAGAAATGCTGAAATACATTCATCGCGCTCACCTGGGTATCAACTATACCATTAACCGAGCAAGAGAATGGGTCTTTGGGCCAAGAGTGACGAGTCAAATAAGAGATCATGTGTCGAATTGTGAGGCGTGCTGTTCACACGAAACCCGGCAGAAGAGGGAACCAATGATGCCGCATGATGTCTCTGACCGACCATGGCAGAAGGTAACGATGGATTTATCCAGTGATAACGGGAAAGATTACTTACTCACGGTGGATTACTATAGTGATTATTTTGAAATCGATTTACTCGCCACTACGACCATAGAGGCAGTAATCAACAAGCTCAGATGTCAGTTCGCGCAGCACGGTATACCGGAGGAGCTGGTTTCCGACAACGGGACCCAGTTTACCAACGTTGGATTCTATGTCTTCGCAATCAAGTGAGAATTCGTGCACCAACAAACCAGCCCATATCACAGCCAATCGAATGAAAAGGCAGAGTGGGCAGTGAAGCAGGCCAAGCGACTGTTATCAAAGGTTAGAGCTACTGGCGAGGACCCGTACCTCATATCAATTTGAGCCCAGTACAGCGCCTATAAAGTCAAACGGCTAGAACTCTGGTGCCGGCATCTGCCACACTTGTGTGTCCAGTTTCGCCACAGCAAGAGCGCTTACAGAACAATCTGAGACGACGAAAGACCACACAGAAACGGTACTACGACCGCGGTGCACGGGTACTACCTGAGCTAACAGTGGGTGAGGAAGTGTGGGTTCAACCATTACCCGATAGTCAAGAGCGGTGGAAGAAAGGTGTGGTGATTGCGAGGGTCGGTGCCAGGTCATACGAAATAAACGTTGGAGGGAAAACGTTCAGAAGAAATCGAGTGCATTTGAGAGGACACTGGAGACAACAATGTGGACTGGGAGTGGAGCGCCAGATAGAGTGAGGCAAGGAGACCACGGCCGCAGATGCAGCGAAAATGACGCGGAGTGGCAAGGTGTACGGGGTGAATAGCAAGATGGAGGCGCAAAAACACGAAAAAGGGAGGATGTGATGGGAGTGTCAGATCCGAGTGAGCGAATGGACCAACCGAACGAGCCAGACAGCCAATGGGAGGCGGGCGTAACGGATACGATTACTGGACTCCGATTTGCCGATATTCGTGTGAGTGATTCACCGTTTGTTTAACTGAAGCAAAGGAGGAACCTCATCGACTCAGAAGGGTCGTTAGTTATGGACTTGAACGTGCAACTTATATCGAGGAGTTTGGCTTGCCAAACATGCTGTAATTTTCGCCGACTTGACTTTGCTGAATAAACGCTTGTCCCTGAAGGACTGAGTTCTGCAACATATACTACTGAGTTATGATTAAGGTGCTGAAGACATCGTTTGACTTCGGTTGAATCAGTAAGTGAACCTCTGCTGTCGGTCATTCTTTTCGTTGCAATCGCGCGAGAGCATGAGTTTCCTCTTTGGTCTCAGCAAGTGTGCACACATGTCTGGAGGTTAGATCTACTAGGCCGTACCGATCCGAAATCGATTAGCCTGTCTGTATGTGGGCTACTAACGGTGAAGAACGTTTCGTCCGT